TAAATATGAGCTATATATTATTAGAATAATATCTGCAAATTATATCATAATGATTAAATTATTTCATGAGATACAGACCTCCAAAGTTTGCCATTTGTCGTTCGAGCAGGCATGTTTGTCAATTTTTAGAAAAATAAATAAATTTTAAATAAATATGATTACTTTATATTACAAGCAAGCTATACCCATAGTTTGCGCCTAAAACGTATTAGAGTTCTCCTAATGTTATCGCTTTAGTTATTCACTCTCAAACGGGCCCCCTCCATCAGTGCGCGTTAATGCAACTGTCCACCACCTCATGCCTTACGATTTTTCCTCTCCCCAAGTATTTTTTCTAGTCAAAACTAAGTTTGGATTCGTTCATACCAGACACTAGACAATAACATATAAAAATATCAGTTGATGTGAAAATGTCGACTAGCCATCCTTTGGTCGATCTTTTCTGAAATCACCCTATAGTGGAGTGCAGAATGACCCTATGCGCATAATGCGTAGCAGCATGCTTCGGTTATGTGAATGTATTTCACTTGAGTAAATTCTCGATTCCTATAGATTCGTAGGTGAGCGTTTCTTCGGATCCGTCAAAAGGCCGGTGAGCTTTTCACCACATCGGGCAGTTTTGCGGTGAGTTTTTCTCCGGTGAGCTTCTCTCTGGTGAGCTTATCTTTGGTGAGATTTTCTTTGGTGAGCTTTTCTCCAGCGCCCGCTTTCTTAGCAGTTCTAATTTGGGAGTTCAATTTGTTCATGTTTTTTTAAAACATTTTTAGTTGTTCTAATGATCGTGTACGCAAAAAGGCGTGATAGCGTGATAGAGGTTATTTTTGTTTTCTGTCATTTTCATATGTATGGTCGTGAGCCAAGGTTTTCTGATTTGTCTCGACTCTTTAATCTTTTTGAAAAGAAAAAGCAAGGTGTTTTTTGTGTGTAAACACTGTAAAAAATTTAGAGTATACAGTAATTGGATCAGGAATGTAAAAAAAAAGGACCATTTGTGTGTGCTAATGTCATTTTTGTGGGATTAGAAGGCCTTATCTGATATGCATTGTACAATTATTGGCTTGTCTGGTAATTTTTTTTAAATTGTACTTAATTAAAACATAAAAAACAGGATAATAATCGCAGCTATCTGATATGATTGGGTCAGCATGAGAGAAAATAATTTTTGTATTTGTAATTAGTAAATCAAGACGTGAAGAAGTAGTCGGCGTAATGCGAGTTGGTGATTTGATCAGATTGATAAAGCCGGCAGAGTGGAGGACGGTTATGAAATCTTGGGTAACGGTACAGTCTTCTAAGATGTTTGTATTGAAGTCACCACTACAAATGAGGCGAAAGTTGTTTCTACTGATATATTTGAAATACTGTTCAAAGAAATTAATAGAATATGAGACACTCCCATTAGGAAGCCTGCATATTACCGATATGATTTCAGAGTTGTTCTGTAGTGTTAATATTTTGTTAATATTTATATATTCATCGGTTACTCTGCAAAATTAAGGAATTTTATTATATCTGCGACAATTTTTAACGTAAATATCAAAGCCGCCTTCTCGACTGTTCGGCCGGTTAACGAAATAATTTTTGTACCTGCGAAGTTTTATTACATCGCAATTATTATTAAGCCATGTTTCGGTCAGAATTATAACGCAGGGACAGAAAAAAATTGATTGGTTTGGAATATATGGAATTTCATTTTTACAGAAGACCTGTTAAGGGCTAGTTTTCCCAAGATCGCGTCCGGTACTAAACAAATGTCGACACAACACTCTGGTTGCCGCCGTCACTCATAGATGGCGGTAGCTGTACAGAGTGCTGTGTTTGCCGGATGTCTGCTTGTTGCCGTCGCTCATAGACAGCGGCAACCTTTCCAGCCTCGGCAACCAGGCAACTGGTTGCTGCCGTCGCTCATAGATGGCGGCAACATTTCATCGGAGGAAGAAGAGCGGGAACGGAACGAGCGGCGATGTGCGCAACAGCGCGAATGGTTCCGCAACTGCCGCGAGACCACTATCGCCTGAAGTTCCACTGCTTCGAGCTCTCCAGATTCTTTCGAGAAAAAAGAGCGGATCGCTCGCCTGGAAAGCCACCGCCGAGAACAGAAGCTACAGCTCCGCTGCTCTTCCTTCTTTCCCTGAGTGGAAAGGCTGAAAGTTTTTTTTTGTTTCTAACGGAACGAATGTTAATGTGCACAACAAAGCTACATAGCTACGTGACTGGCAGGATAGCTGGAAGTGATAAGGCCGAACGAAATCGTGCTATTATGTAACTTCAAACATACTTCCTAAAAAAAAGAAAAAGCTACGGAAGAATTTTAACAAAAGAAAAAATAAAGACAGGCAATACAAAAACAGACAGCTTGCCGTTATCTTGCAAACGTCATCAACACATGTCACCTTCACAAGAGGCGTTTTCTTCGGTCTTGAGTGCATAAATGTTACCATTCCGCACCCAGCCAGAATTCTAGTTGCAATCTTTTCTTTTGGCTTCTGTTATTCCAAACTATTGTTTGTAGAGTGGGGCACCATGTATTGATCGTGCTCGGCGGAAAATAATTGAGGGGGTAGTCATCACGGTAACTTCACTAATTGACAAACATTTTTTAATTCACTTTTTAAATATTGGTTTTAGGGGCCCAGTTTAAATTGCACTGTGGAAGATAATTACTATTAGAAGACAGGCCAGTTTAACGAATTTGCGAGAAGGAAATGGTTGTTAAGATATTCATTGATCAACTCTCGCCTTTTTTCGCCCAATTTAAACATTGCACAGTAAAAGAGCTTTTCAAGCCCGGCCCACAATGACGCTTGGAAAAGTGACGCCAACGTTTAAATCCTGTGAATATCTCTGCAGGGTGTCCTTGGTGGATGCGCTAACCACACAAGTGATGACTTGACCTAAGCGACCACGTCACTCTGCAAACCGTGATTGTGGGCAGGGCTTGATGTGCTAGTTTTGTACGAAATTTCTAAATCGTGCGCAAGACCACGAACATTGATCAAGTAATATTTAAAAAAATGTTATATTTTCTCAAACTGTTTAAATTGGTCTGGCCTTTAACATTAAATGCCGTCAATACTGCAACTCCAACATGACCTCTACAACCAACTATTAAATAGGTAATTAACACATTTCAGTTAAGTCGTCAACGTAGCCCAATCAGCACACTTCCTCGGCCCAGGCTCGGGCCAGACTGGCGCGAGCTAGAGCCAACTTGGCTCAAGCCTAGCACGAACTTGCACCAAACTGACCCAACTATGAGGAGTGTGCTGCTAGGAACCATGACCATCATCCCGTCATCTAATGTCCGCTACGCCCGATAAATACACAGAGAAGAGAGGGCTCGTTTAACTCTTACTCCTTTTTTAATAAAAACATGTTCGAATGAAAATTTACTACCCTGTTCTTCAGTTCAAGATATTTACAGAGGTCACGATGGCCCGGGTCCCTAAGCTGGACACTCAGCGAGAATGTCGGCGATATTTCTGGCCGCCGCGATTGGGCGGCGCCGTGCTTGACATTGAAACTGGCAAATCGCGGAGGTTAGAAATCTCACCGACTTTCTTACCGGGTGTCCAGCCTAGAGCCCCTGGACAGTCCATAACACGACGTGCATTTCTTTTTGTTTTAGTTACGGGCACATGTTGGCCTCACTGGTCTTCTTTCTGTGATGTTAAACAAAAACGGTCATCGACTTATATTGTTACAAAACGGCCTAGTTAAACGTCTATTTTCAGTTCTTAATTTATCTTCCTATTTTTAGTCGCGACAATACACACATGAACATGATCAAAATTATGCAGATGAACGATGACCACACTGATCGAGTAAACGTGAATATGAATCTCTGACCGAATAAACATGAATATGGATATGTACAAGTGCATTGGACGATAAATATACACTATGCGGTCTTCTTGACGAGTCTTTAAGTCTGTGCTATTTGATCTCACAGGTCGCGGCAAAGTCGTAGTTTTCGTGGAGAAGTTCGTTGATTGGTACATGGGCACTGATCAGAGAGAAGCTGACTTTGAAACGCAGCAGATCAAAATAGTTGGTCCGTTGGTTCGCATCGGCGACGCTGTTTGCCGACGGTCGCCTCCCTTGTAATCCAGTCAGCCTCAACAGGTTGGCACCTTGGTTACATGGGAGCAACCCAGTCAGACCCATCGGAGCATGGGCTTCCCAAAGGAGGTTGTCATTGCGGCTCCGAATTTCGTACCGACTGCGGTCCAATCAGCTTCGCTAATGATGGCATTCTGTGTTCGCCTGATTTATCAGAACACTCTAAGAAATGCCTGTGCGTCTATTTACCCGCAAAACACTCGAAGAGCCAATCTCTGCGATCTACGAAATCAGCTCAGCGAATTATGGGGCGAGACATTCGTTTAGACCTCAAAATTAAGTCTGCGCTGTGGCATTACGCAATGCAAGCATGACGCTTTGCATTGCGTAATGCCACCGCGCAGACTTTATTTTGAGGTCTAAACAGGCGTTGCGCCTCATCATTCGCTGAGCTGATTCGGTTGATCGCAGAGATTGGCTCCTGGTGTGTTTTGCAAGTAAGTAGACGTGCAGGCATTTCTTGGAGTGAATGACCCAGACAGGTTCAAATTTTCTTACGGCAATGGAATTAAGCAATCATAATTCCTTGAAATTCACGATGCAAAAACGACTTAGGTCATTAGGTCAACAAAACAACTGAGTCTAAAAAAAGGTATTAAACCAATGGGCGAAGAGTGGGAAATTATCCCCTTGAAGAACATGTGTACCTCGTTTGCCTCATAGAAATTTATTTAAAGTATTAATTTAAAAGTCATCCGGAATAATAATAAAAAGTTATACTGGTGAAAAAAGGAACACGACATAGGGAACATTTGAGCCACACAATTTGAAAAATTGTACTGCCTATTCAGAAGCGACAATGACTTGTCGAGACATCTCCATAATTGTTCTTGACTATTTGCCATAATACACCAAAGGCGATTCCAAAACAAAACTCTTTATTCGGTTTGTTGAGCAGGTATTTGACAGACGTTTTGTTTTGTAGGATTGGTGCAGCTCTGATCAGAAATGATGTACTTCTCAGTTGTGTTGCAGAAAACATCATATGCGAATTCGCAAATTGAAGGCACATCGTTGATGTTAGCCTCTGCCACCCAAAGCTCACAATCAAGAGCTGAAAAAGAAATATAGAAGTAAGTAGGTAAAATTCCGATTTAGTTGAGTGAGTAAAAATCAAATGTAAATATAATACAGATTTTCAGAGTGCTTCAGGTTACTAGCGCACATTGAAAATCCACAAGTATGCAATTGACACGTAGCTTTTGCGGGCCATTGGTGTAATTGTTAATTAACCTTAATTTTTTTTTTAGAAAAAAAATGTTTTTTGAACAAGAAATGATAACGTTATTTTATACTTCTACATTAACATAGGAGACATGAGTACTATATAAAATAGTTCAGTATTGGCCTGCCCAACTTCAGACTGTGGTTCTGGTGGTTCTGGTGGTTCTGGGCATGCTTTTGAGCGCTCAATTTGAAAGGGAGCGCCAAAACTTTATCTGGTTCGTTCCGCGAAAACCCTTCCTTTGTCGTTTTTTTGCCGTTGGAGTAATTCGGATATTTGAAGCAGCGCCACAAGGTCATCTGGTTTTGTTTACGTTGGCCTCCTGAATTCGCTAAAGTAACAATGATCTGTATCAAAGCTGAATATTATATAGTTCTGCAAAAAGCCTCTACTCGCTACGGCGTGAGCCTTACTGCAGGAGGGCATTAACTTTTGAGAGTGATAAAACAAACTGGCACAAGAAACGTTTTTGCTTCGTTTATGACATAGCTTTATAGCGGTGATGGCACCGCTAAGCACAACTGGTGGAGAGCAGCGCGTTCGAAGTGACTTTTGAGGCTTATTGAAAAAGTGCCCGGACACTTCTAGTGCAAAATAAATTAAGCACCGACTAACACGCTGCGTTTTCTGTTACAGGGTGATTGTTTGAGCGGCCACTACGCAGGATTACGTTTTGCAGGTCATAATTGAACCAAACTGACGATAATAAAAGAAAAGTAATATCGTATTCACGCTGTGGCTTCCTTCTTAGCTATTTTAACGACCCGTACATTTTCCACTTCACTTCTTAATGTTGTTTCAATTTGGCGGCGATTAGAAATGAATCATGTTCGTTCCACACCCCGAATCGCGTTCTATTACTGTTTTACGCTCTTGGTATACAAAACGCACTTAAACTTGCGACGGCTTTATTTTCTTTCTAAGCATAAATAGGGAAATGGGTAAAGCTACAGACTTGGCGAAATATTTGGAGCATCGCAGTGAGGAATGAGCCAGAGAGATGAAAATACAACTTAACTTCGAGTAAACAAAAAACTTGTGTTCGAATAAAAATTAAATAATTTGTGACTACAATCAAGTGCATATAAAGATCACATCCTTGCGAAAAAAGTTCGTTGGACGAAAGCTAAGAAGGCGCAACCAGAGTCATGTACTTGACAAGTCACTAAGTTTACGAAGAATAGGCTCAAAATTGTTATTCAATTTCAATTGTGCTTCAAATGTAGTTTTTGGAAAAGTACAATCGTAAAATAAAGTTTATGCAAAATTTTATATAGAACGAAATAATGAAAGTATTCACAATAAATATTTTAATGACTGGTAGGAAAAACACAGCCTATTCATGACATGCACTACAGGTCTTTCTTTTCTCTGGCGTCATGGCTTTACGTAGAAAATAACGATTGCTATCGAAATGAAGCACATAAAGCACCGTTGTTATATAAAATTATTGTTCTATATTTATTAAAAATAGTGGCCCTAAAATACTTACGGTTTCCTGTGTGGGGTGCTCGAACAACGTCGCAACTCTTATAGTCAGAGAATATAATTGGTGAGTCCGCGTAGAGCGACGAGTCTGCCATACAATGCAAAGAAAAAGATGGATTGTCAACAGGAAAGCAAACAAAATATAAAACAGGAAATGATACAGAACACATAGTTCTAACTCAAATATCGGCGGCAATGCAGTTAATTTTAAATGCCTTTTTGAATGCCTGGTTTATGTAATATTACATGAATATTGATAACAGATATCTGCAAAGGACCGTGTTAAAAGCCATGTCTCATAAACTATTGTTGCTCCAGGTGTTCCATCGATCAGATGATATCATTACAGGACAACTATAGTTTAAAAATAATATAAAGTTCTTTATGCTTTCTTTGGGTGATACCTGCGGTTTGAATGTGGTAATTAACCTGGCCTGGAATAATTCGCTTGTAGTACGTCCACGAAAATAGAATAAAGTAATGAGGTCCCAGATAGTTTGTTCTCGTGTTAGGTTTTATATATCACAAAAAACAGCATTAGACTTGAGCATCGAACTTTTCTAAAATGAAAACAAGAATCTCAAATAATTTCAGCAATCCAATTTTGCCTTCTGCCTCCCCCCCCCCCCCTTTTCTCCTAAAATCATCATAGATTGAATTGAATTCATCTTAACTAGACACAAGGTCTAGGATAACAGGGCAAAAGGCAGGTTGATTCTGCCTGACCTAGCCCTTTTACCCCTTTACACGTTCAGCAGTCGAAAACAAAAATATCACATATTAAAGGAGTACAAAAAGGCACAGTAGCACATGAAAAATCAAAATTGTATAGAGTTTATAAAATCGTCGGTGCTTGTCTTAACTCCTTAAATGCAAAATAAACCATGTAATAAAACTCAAAAGCAATAATGACAGCATTGGAAAGTATTTACTCAACGTGGAATAACAGAAAGTCCGTTTTATACCATTTTTCAGCTATGTATTGAAGCACAATCTGAAATTATTTCCATAACGACTGCACGTTTGTTTAAGAAATCTGGTATTAAGTAAGCTTATTGGTGATGTTCCTATTTCTTCCTATACCAAGGTATCCCTGAGTGAATGCGCAATCGAATTTACTAAACAAGCATAAACGCGAATTTTAATTGCACGTGTAAAACTCTGTTGTAGAAAAGTTTCAAGATCCCCGATAAATTTAAGTGTCTTCCATCTTATGACTTGGTAGAAAGTAATGCCAATTTTTTGTTGCTTTTGTATTTTTTCAATACGCATTTTAGGCTGTGTCTGCATTGTATATGAATCATGTACAAGCAATGCTTAAACTGAAGCTTATATTTGTAACGAGCGTGTTCCAGCAGAAAGAATAAAACAAAGAAAACGAGATACAGAGGGTGCATTCATTCAACTCACATCATCTTTGATTTCCATAGCGTACTATCGCCGGTTCCCACACGCTTTTAGGAAAAGGAAAGGGTATGAGCAGGGCAAGATGGCCCTGCTTTACCCTCCCCTTTATCTCTCCCCCCTTATGGCCAATTTACGCGACGGACTGATCCGAGGACGAATTGATCACGTGACGACATGTCCGCGGTTCGTCCGTCCCCCAAGCACATGCACACGAGGGAGACGACGAGCAGACGCCAGCGAGGACGGACCGAACCTGCTCGCTACCCCAGAGTGCTGCGTTAACTCCAACATCGCACCGTAGCACCGCTGTCCAAGAAAGAAATCGGCGTTTTCTACAGAGATGAGGAATCGTGCACCGCTGTTTCGTACCATCGGGTTCGAGTGAAATGCGAAGGAACCGTAACAGAACTTAGGGCCCACTACCGGCGCAGCTTCCAAGCTTGGTTTGGGCTTGGCGAAGTTCGGTCACATCGGAGTAGGGCGCTGCTAGGCTGTGCGTCCTACTCCGATGAGTTTTAATCTCGCCAACCACAACCCAAGCTTGGAAGCCGCTCCGGCAGTGAGCTCGAAGTTCCGTCACTGGTCGCATTGCATTTGAACCCGATGGTACAGAGCGAGGCCGAACATTGTGATAGGCTTCGCGCAAGGCGCTACTAGCTTTACTAAACCAAGGCATGACAGTAACACGGGCATGGTCCTGCTCGAGAAGGCATCGGCGTAGGAGCGATGAAATTCTGGGCTCGCGGAGGGGCGTTTGGAAATGAAACCACGCATTCCACGCTCGAGCATAACACTCAAGTACACCAAAGTCACATGAAAGGTCTTGTGAAAGGCTGATTGGACGAGCAAGGATTATCGCGGCGTGCTAGACGAGTTTCGAAGGAAGCTTCTTGACACGAACCCGGGGGAGTACCGGAACCTGCGTCGCGTCAGCGGGACAAAGTTTCTGCGGTTTGTTTCACGCGTCGAACCAAGAATCGCACGACAAAATGAACGAGCGGATAAACAAAACACAACGATGCGCCATTTTTGTTTTAAACATTCGAAAAGAAAAAAAAGAGAAGAAGAAAACATTGTATTGTTGCCAGACTAAATGGTTTTCACGTCGATCTCCCAACAAAAATCTGCGATAAAAAGGCACCCGACTTTATCAGTCCGCGCGTCCGGGGGCGAGGCGCGGATCGCAGCAATCAGTGACGTGGAGGTCACATGGTACACAGTCCGCGGACGAAAATCGCTATTCCGTCCGTCGTGTGAATCGGCTTAGCGGAACCGCAAAGCTCCGGGTGCAAGAAAACCGCACCTCTCTTTCACTCTCTGAAAGGGCTAGCAAGGGTGATGGCGCATTACATAGTTTTAGTAGATCATTCCAATCTTTCCAATCCTCCGATACCCCCAATAACGACACCCGATAACAATACAATACATGCGCAAATGTGGCGACGGAGTATCAGGCATCGTTATCGGAGTCATCGGAACGATCTACTAAAACTTCCTATTGATTAACGAGTTACTAATCGCGAACGTTTCGATAGCCTTCATCCCAAATCTCTGGTGACGGCTCCCGTCACACGCTCGCCTAGGTTTCTTTATGCATTATATTTTCTGCAGGAGTAAACTGAAGTTTTTTTAAAATTTAGTTGGTCAGATGCTCAAAAATTATATTTACGTAATCCCATGCACGTTTTCTAGTCTAATGTAATTTTTCTAACTTACTCGTACATCTTGCAGCACGAATAACATTTGGTATGCAGTATGGCTCTGTTGTTTCAACATGGGTACACACAGTGTACTTCACTCTGAAACAAAAAAAAACATGCATTCAATTAAAGATTTGTTTGTTTTAATGCATTAACATTAGAACGCTTGGTTTGACGAAAACTTGGTGATGTCTTTCATATGTATGCGCCGAAGAGAGAAGGAGGAGGAGGGCGAGAGGGTGACGCGTTAGACGCTCTCATTGGTCCGAAGCGCTGACGTCAGCACGCGTCAATCTCTACCTCTCTCCCCGGCGCTGACAAACTGACAGACGCCGTCGGGTTTTCGTCAAAACGATCAGTTTCGTTTTCGTCAAAGTCACGCACAGCTGGCGCGGAGCCAGAGAGGAGGAGGCGCCGCGCAACGCTCCCTAGATAACAAAGCCATAGTGCTGAACACGACCGGCTTTATTAGGAGCGACGAGGTCACTCCGCGTTTTCCTATGGGAGTGCGCGGGCCAAGAAATATCACGTGATCGGCTTGGAGGGACCGAGTGTTGCGCTACACTCTAAGAAAAAGTGAGCACACCCCCTAGTCATCATACGTTTTGACGGCTGTAACTACCCCACAGGCTTACTTAACTGCCCATTGGGCTCGAGCCATTGAGCGTTACCACACTGTTGGCAAGTGACAAGCATGGGGTAGTCACGTTTTATAAACTCTTGAATTGAACATTCAAGTGCATGTAGTCGTTTAATAGTAAAAGTCACTTCAAAAATCTCAAAAAGTACTTGAAACTTGTTCTCTTTGTGCGTTGGTTACCATTTATTCAAGTTTGAACCGGTCGAAACAGGCGTGTGGCTCAGTTCGCCTAAACTGGCAGCAAACAAACATGCCAAAGAGTACAGGCAACCTGGGTAGGCACCTACTAAGACCCGAGGCAGATAAAAAGTATCGCGGTTGTCCTGTTTGGTTCCGTCGCGGGTTTTACCATGTACTGGTAGTAAACAGCTGGCAGCTGGCGTCGTGCTCGAGGAATTTAACCAAATCTCTAGAAAAGCACAGGAAGCTACGCACAGGCGTGAGTTGACTGTAATGTTCGCCGGACGAGATACTTTTGTCGTGTTTTATTGTGCGGTTCAGTAAAGAGCGTGCTCTCATTAAAGGTGTGATCGGTCAGTTCTGCGTGCAGATCAGTTGCAAATGGCCTCCTCGGTTCCGCGGAACTTGCACGCCTGTCATACACAATTTTTTTTTTTTTTTTGCTTTCAAGTGCAGTGAAGTATGAAGCATTGAAAACAACGACTGAGGCCGGACAGGACGAATGTACACAGATATCTGGGATCATGCCCGTGTATTTCAGTATTTCTCTGTCTTTGGATATATGATTCGCCTTCACTGGCTCATTTGGCAGATTTCATCGAGCATACTCGATAAAAAATGCTTCAAACAAAAATGCTTCGAACAAGTGTGTGTCATCCAAGGTGGAGTACTTTGAAGGGGACTAGGATTTCAGGCCTTTCGGCACGCGTTCCTTTTACCCATGTAAAAAATTCCAAGTAAATTTAAAAAAATAAGGCGTTGGCATACACGTGCTATTCGGTCTAGATTTTTTTTTTTTTTTTTTAGAAAAAGTGCTGTTGGAGAAGTTAGCAGGTGCAGCGCAGAGAACTATGTTCTCGGCGTTCTTTGATGCTTGAGGCCGGTTCAGACACTTGCGTTTGAATGCGTTTGACAGTGTTGCGTCCAGAACCGAAAGCGACTCACCGGCACATCTGTGCTTCGTATGAAGCGTGGAATCCCATTCAAGGAATCGTCTTGGCATGCGATATAAGCAGCAGGGATGTCCTGGTTTCTCGCTGCCGCAACGCAGTCAAACGCAACTGTCTGAACCAGGCTTCAGATAAGTTAGCATACGTATTTCGCGTTCGCTGTAGGTGAAGGCACGGGCCCGAAAGCGGCAATTCTGCACTGTCCTCTTGGCGCGAGCGCGAGCGCATAGAACGCATAATTGAAAGACACGCGCTTGAGCAGAAACAATTTTAGCGAAAAGAAGACAACTGAAACAACGCTTCGGAGAGGACCGGTGGACGGGCTTCGCTAGAATCACCTGCACGCGCTCAGTGTACTCAACATTTACTCAACCGCCGCTGAAGTCATTCGGATATGTAAAAAGAGAAAAGAAAATGCCTCAGCGTGTTCAGAAAGTTGTGATTGCAGAAATTGGTTTCGATAATTAATACAAATAATTAAACAGGATTATGTATACTTGAAGTGTAGGCAAGCGAGAAAACGAAACTGATCAAAACGTGACGTGTAGCGACTATTCAATTTGATTTATAACCTACAGTTCACTTTTGCAATAGATTACATTAGAGATACGAGCGCATTCCTAAGGGCAGTAGAGGCAAATAATATATACGGATAAATCTTGCACAGTCTTTTCGTATTTATGCAAAATATGACAGTGGTCACCATCCTTATCGGTCACAGAAAATATAGCAGTACATAAGCTGGTGGTGTCGACTAGTCGTTTGTATATGAGTGTAGAGTGTCAATATCTCATGTTGTACCTTGTGCTGTTTGTGAACGCGTTCGTGTTTGATATTGTATGGTGTCTCTATGTCGCCTATGTGTGAAGTGTGGTGCGGAATATGTAGTACGTGCATGTCTGGCGAGGCCCTCAGAACAAAGACTGTTAGTTTCTTTTTTCTTAGTTTGAGCGCTGTCCTTTAGGTGGCGCGTGGCGCCGCCCAATTCAAGGAGTCGCGCGTTTATGTGTCTACTTATTTGGCCGCTCCATGGCTCCACGGAGCAGCCACAAAGGGTTCGGTTCTCGGCCTCTCGTCCCAGTGGGATCAGTGGATCAGTCCCATAGCCAGTTGAATGGGTGTTCCGTGCGGTGAATAGTGCGTGCACAGACGCGGTGGGGATTACCAGGGACTTGAAAGTGGATAACGAATGCTAACAGGTGAGCAGGAGCGTTGAACGATCGAAACCGACGCCGCTTGAATCGGTGATGCCTCGCCTCGCCGCTGTCAACCGAGAACGCCGGATCACTTGCGGCAAGCACAGCAAGCAGATTCTCTGCTCAATAAAGACATAATTTGATTTGTTGCTAAACGATTCCTTCTTTGAATGTTTTCTGGCCGCGAAGTAAATGCAGCCGGCCACGCGAAAGCAGTCGTAATAGGCGCGGTGCCGGTGCTTCGAGGCGCGTTTTGGTGTGCTTTAGTGCGCACCTAAGGCAGCGAACGGGCGTACGCACTTGAGAATCGTATTTTAGCTAAAAGCAGTCCAGCTCGCTAGGCCTTACTCGTACTGCTCCACTGTCGCTTGCCAGCCGCCATGTTGCTTTTGGGGGTGCTCACTGTGTCTACGTGTTAATTGCATGCCGCATGACTACCCATGGGGTCGTTAGTATTACTAAGGGGGGGTGGCGATATCTGTGACGGCTTCTGACTACCTCAAATGTAGTACCCTACGACTACCCTTTTGTTGAGAGTGTAGGAGCCGCCCTAGTTCAACACCAAAAGCTCGGCGGCCGCTATGGAAGGCACTGGAATATTCTATTTTGCTCGCCTGGAGCGCTGCTCAAAACTTGAGAGCTACGGGCCTATACTCAGTTTCTCAGCGCACACACAAAACATAATTAGCACATCTAAAGAGTACTAGGCTATACTCCTGTATTAAGATACCTTGTTTTAAGTGCAAGTGCTTCGTTATTTGAGGGAATGTAAATAGATCTGTTTTACAACCAAAACGCGGCGCAGCATAAAATTTGCCGTGGTTAAGCTTAGTAGTCACTTACACACAGCTCCTTGTGCTGTTGTAAAAACCCATTTCCGTTTTTGCTGTCTTGTTGAAATTTTCATGTTGCGTCTGCTGTATAAACATGCATTTCGATGACCCTCCAAACATCTCGTCTTTGACATAGCTTCTGTATTTGAGGTAACGCTTGGCGGGGTTTTTAACTGACTGAAAAATAGAACAAACATTGCACATATTTTAGCGTGCAAAAATACATCCTCATATTCTCCTATAATTGCTGGCAGCTTGAAAAAAAAAACAACGAAAAACACTGCAATGGAAAATAATAATTTTTCTAAAGGGAATAGATGGGAACATATATTACATAAACATTTTACCAGGAAAAATATTTTTTTTTTTCGAGCAATATTTACGCCGTTAGGCGCGACTTAGGTGGAGAAGGTGGAGGCTGCCAGGAGGCTCAGCCCGCTAAGCCCCGCCCCGTGGTTACACCGGGCTTACATCTCTCATTGGCTGGAAAGATGATTGACGTGTGAAATATTGCTTGTAAAATTGTATGTCTGTGCCGTAGCAGTATTCTAATCGACATTTTTTTATATTTGAGGAAGCAAATAATTTAGATAGAGTCACTGTTGTTTTAGAAGTATTCCACGATTGCCTCTTCCGCATTAGTGTGAAACGATGAAAAACATGGCTGGCCGTCTGAGGAGTACGCGCTCAACGAGCGCAGCTCGTCGAGGTCGTCTATTTTTACGAGTGCGAGTCGTTTTGCATTCAGCGAAGTGCTCGAGTAAGATGTATGCCCAACCAACGTAGCTAGCAACAAACAACTACCGGGTCATTCCATGTCAAAGGAGACGTGGCAATATTTTTTTGATATCTGGGATATGTACAAAGAAATTAATTTGAATAAAGTGGCCTCCGATCTCAAACAAGCTTATTTTTTGTTGTTTTGTTGTATCAGCCAAAATTTAATTTTTGCTGATATATTATGCTTTATACTTCTGGAATTTGCATAAAACCTATAACCGCACAAATTTAGATGGGCACCTGATTACTTAATATTAGGCCCGATTTTACATTAAAATGCAAAATTTGAAAGATACAATTTTGAGTCATAAATTAGCGACTTTATAAAATTAAAAAGAAGCGACTGTATAAGGTTTCTTCATATATATATTTAGTCATATTGAATTTGGGTGTTCGCTACAATAACCTTTTTCTTTGTTCTCTTGAAACTATTAATTGAAATGCTTTTATCAAATTTTCAAAAACTATTTTTGTTGCGTTCTAATTAAATAGCAAAATCTCCAGTTTACGCAGAAACGTCCATATTCAGAGTCAGAAAAAAGCAATGTAGGCAGCGGTGCCCAGAACTTTCAAATTGTCAAAAGTTCCATTCCCCTCATCTGTTCAACATATCAACAATTTAAAAAAAAAAAGTAATTTTTGTTGTGGATAAAATACTTTTTAAAGATGAGCTTCCCGGACCATGCATCCAGGCGGCCACCTCGTAGGCGACGCACGACAGCGTTCTCCCGCGAGGCGTCAACGGTGTGAGACGCCGCCGCAAGGTCTTCAACGCTCTCCTGAAAACACGTTTTATTCATTTGAAGTGGACGTTGTCCTCACTTCCATCCATCCGGATCCTCTTCACGTTATGTAATGATACTGGCGTCTTCATTTTACTCTACCTCCGCCAAGGTAACTGCCGACGAGCGGAAGCCTGCATCGTCTGCTTACCGAGTCTGGGAATGCATACTGCGCGTCGGCCTTGTTTGTCGTATTTCCAGATAGAAAAACAATTGAGACCGGATAGCTCTTCACCGATGCAGTACGATAATAGTAGCGCCCCTTTCTCATCGGACCCAAATGCATTTTGATAGATCCAAGATGTATTGACGTTCGTTGGCGCATCCACCAAGGACGCGCTCCCGAGATGGTGACGACTTCTTCAAAACGACTATGTTACTCTTCTAATTGTCATTCTGCGCAGGGCTTGTGGCAATCTTTTTGCAAGCAATATTGAATTTGGGAGTAAAGAAGTTCTATAAGACACTTACGACTGCTTACGTGTAGGAATGCTTTCGCATTCCTACAAGCCGCGCGTTCCTAAAAGCAGCGCACAACGTTTTTCTTTCGCACGTGACGCTCCGGCGGTGACATCACGATTCCCCAGTGCACCGGCTTAACCAGGGCTTCCGTGACGAAGCATTGCTTTACTGCTCTTTTTTTTGTGTTTTATTTCTGAAGCGCGTGCGCTTTGGCCTTGAGCGCACCCGAAGGCTTCTGTGACGAAGCATCTGCAATGCTGTGCTTTTTTTTGTGCTTTACTGGGAATGAGAGTTTAGGTGCCGTTTCGCTTAGTTAATAGAAATTTATGTGCTGTTTCGGTCAGCCAATGGGAATTTAGGGGCCGTTACGAACAAGCTCTAGTGTTACGATCAAGCTTCGAAGGGCAAGGCAATATAAATAATGCATAACAGGCGATGCGCATGAGCACCCAAAGCACGTAGAAGGCGTAATTAGTCAAAACAATTTGCGCATACTCCTAACACACAATCGAAACCAGAGAGATTCACTTAGGCGCTCAGCGGGAATTGAACTCCGGACCACGGGATATGCAGTCCGACAGCTTTGCTCGGTGCAACAAGGATTTGAGCAAGAACGTAAGCAACTGAACTAAGTATGACTTGTCGCCAACGGTCACCTATAGTATCATGCGACTGTTCACGTCGATTGATACTTCATCCAGCATACTTTCCTCATGCGACCATCGGAGGCGGGTTATACTTAGTCCCGCATACTTGATCCGCAGCCAACCGTTGACGGCGCGTCATACTTAGAATTGCAAAGGCCTAAAACGAAACGAAAAATCGTGTTTTTCTCCCTTTCTTTTAACGGCCTAAACACGTAGAAACAAACCTATAAATTTTAAGCACCTAATTTTTCGTTTTTACGATGTACTGTTTTGTGTACTTTGGGTCTAGTTTTGAGAGAATAAAAAAAAAAAACACACCTCAGTGAAATCCACTGATCGCCATCGTAGTTTTCAAATTGCGCTTGACATTTCGGTGCTCTACTTCCGTAACTTCCGGAGAGATCCACAAAATAATTCGACCACAGTCTAGCGTGTGAAAGTACTTTACAATGTGCCAGTTGTTGAATGCAGACAAAAAGCAGGCAGTTTGTAGGCACCATAAGGCATCGCACGGGTTTCCAAATGCTACGCGCCTTGCAAGGAATCCTCTGGGTCGCAGAAGGTGTCATCAAGCCGTAAAGGAAGTGTGTACTAAGGAGCACGGTACAGAATCCCCTGGAAGCAATTCATAACCCAAATCAAGTGAGTAAGAAGTTTTCCCAAGCGCAAGGAACTCTTCGACGTCTAAAACACGCACGAGTGTTTCTTTGTTTGTTTATGGAATCACGCATGAACTGCAAGCCGAACGTGATGTTTCTTTGGCTAGAACGGTGTATTCATCTAACTCTTCAATTTGTTTTGACTTTAAAAGAGAATTGGCTGGCAGCCTTTAAGATGCGTCGACCGTCATATACACCGCCCAGACGGTATACACGAAGTTGACCTCTGCTTGATACCGAGTATGAGCGCGTTAAACATCACGTGAACGAAAACTTAAGCATCGTTACATGCCTTACGCTGTTTACTGATGGGCGCACCAACATTAGAGGCGAGGCGGTGATACACTTCGTTGTGGCTGCGCCTCAGTCAGTTTTTCACACATCAATCGAAGCAGGCACAGACCGGCACACTACTTCATATATAAGCGGAGAGTGCAAAAAAGTGGTTGCTTTGGTCACTGACAATATTAGTAACATACAAGCAGCATGTCAGATTTGACATGTTACATTATTTGGATGTGTCGCTCACGGGCTGAATCTGCCCTTGAATGATCTCATGAAGCTATCATTCCTGGAGAAGGTTCATCACACATCCAGAAAAGGGATCTAGTATGTTAAGCAGACTCGCTTATTTGCTGCTACGTTTCAACAGAAGCAGGAGTCAGAATGTGGCTAAACAAGCTGCACGACTCTCAATCTGCCCTGTAAAACAAGATGGAGTGGCTATAGCCAGGGGTGGCCAGGCCGACCAGGCCTAAGAGCCGCAAACGAAACCGCGAAACTTCTAAGAGCCACGGGGAGGGGGGGGGGGAGGGGGGGGGGGGAAGGGGGGGGGGCAAGTTTAAATTTTGTTCAGAGCCTGACTGTACGCATGAGTGCACAAGGATGTACGGCAGTACGTATGGGGGTATAAGGTTGCCAAACCGCGAGCCGTACTTCATTCTGCCTGAAATCTTTTCTTTTTTTCCTCGGGAAATGCGGGAGGGGGGGGGGGGGGGGGGGTCCCCTTACGAGGGACCGCGAGCCGCACTTGGACCAGCAAAGAGCCGCATGCGGCTCGCGAGCCGCGGTTTGGCCACCCCTGGGCTATACACTCATTTCAAGCTTGCTTAGGAACATAAACGTACTTCAAGAAACCGTAAACTCGGATGATGTGCAAGTAAACAAGTCTGTGCGGCATGCTGTCGTAATGGAAGATTGATTCTGGAATGCCCTGCGCAGCTGTTTGGAACTTGTGTTGCCTATTTCCTCGGCCATTAGAGCATTGAAGTCTGACAAAGTTTTGTTGTCTGACGTTTCCAAAGTCTTTGATTCTATTAAAACCGAAGGGATCACGAGGTTCGCGACAACCACTTTAACACGCGAAGAACAGTCTCGCGAAAGAGATTATCAGCAGGCGCGCAAGTTTTTTTTTTGCGCCATATCCACGTTACTGCAAACTTGCTGGACGCAAGAGACAGAGATAAGTATATGGATGATGCTCACATAGCGGACACGTTTTACTGGATCTTCCAGCGAGCGGAGCACCTCTCACTTGACGTAGGAAAATAAATTTCTTACTTCGTTGTATATAAGGTATCTACAGGAATTTGGTCCAAAACAAAAAAAAAAAAAAAAAGAAGAAAAAGTTTAAAAGAGTGCAAAGCGTCTGGAACTGTCCACCTGGTTGCAAGAACTCTGTACTAACCAGCCATTGGCACACCTGCCATGTCGTCTGTGTCATTCCCTCGTAGTCCCCACATGTGAACGGAACTGGTCTCAATTTGGAAATGTGCATACTACTCTGCACAACAGGCTCCCGGGTGAACTTTTTTTAAAATTATTTTTATTGCCAATTTTTTGTGAAA